AAAATTAGCCAGGCTTGGTGGTGCGCACCTGTAATCCCAGCTACATAGGAGGCTGAGGCATGAGAATCGCTTGAACCAAGGAGGTAGAGGTTACAGTGAGCTGAGATGGTGCCACTGCACTCCAACCCGGGTGGCAAGAGCGAAACTCCATCTCAAAAGTAAATAAATAAATTAAATTAAGTAAATAAAATTTAATAGATGTTGGTGTGTATGTGGTAAAAAGGTAACACTGCAGGGGGAATGTAAATTAGTACAACCTTTACGGAAAGCAGTATGGAGATTCCTTAAAGAACTAAAAGTAGATCTACCATTTGATCCAGCAATCCCACTACTGTGTATCTACCCAAAGGAAAAGAAGTAATTATATCAAAAAGACACCTACACGCATATATTTATTACAGCACAATTCGCAAATGCAAAGACATGGAACAAAACTAAGTGCCCATCAACTGATACGTGGATAAAGAAAATGTGATATATATACACCATGGAATACTACTCAGCTATAAAAAAGAAAAAAATGATGTTTTTTGCAGCAACCTGGATGGAACTGGAGAACATTATTCTAAGTGAAGTAACTCAGGAATGGAAAACCAAATATCGCATGTTCTGACTTTTTTTTTTTTTTTTTGAAATGGAGTCTCACTCTCTAGCTCAGGCATGATTGCAGTGGCACGATCTCAGCTTACTGCAACCTCCGCCTCCTAGGTTCAAGCGATCCTCCCAAGTTCAAGCTATCCTCCACTTCAGTCTCCCAAGTAGCTGGGAGTATAAGCGCACACCACCATGCCCAGCTAAGTGTTGTATTTTTAGTACAGACGGGGTTTCGCCATGTTGGCCAAGCTGGTCTCGAACTCCTGACCTCTGGTGATCCAGCCACCTTGGCCTCCCAAAATGCTGGGATTACAGGCATGAGCCACCATGCCTGGTCACATGTCCTCATAAGTGGGAGCTAACCTATGGGTACACAAAGGCATATAGACTGGTATAATGGACATTGGAGATTCAGAATGGGGGAGGATGGTGGGGAGATATTTAAAAACTACATATTGGGAAGAATGTACGCTACTCAGGTGATGGGTGCACTAAAATTTCAGACTTGGCCATTATACAATTCATCCATGTAACCCGAAACCACTAGTACCCCTAAAGCTATTGAAAGAGAAATGAAAAAATTTCTCATCATCATTAATGGAACAAACAAATAGCATATGCCCCCTGGTACGATGTACTGAGAATCCAACACTCTGGTGGTATTCTTGCAAAAAATATTTCACCTGAATCTAATCCTGAGGGAACAATCAAACAAATACACTTTGAAAGATGTTCTGCAAAACCGGCCTGAACTCTTAAAAGTGCCAATGTCCAGCAAGACCAAAACAAAAGACTCAGCAACAGCTCCAAATTTAAACATGCTAAAGAAGCGTGATGGCTAAATGCATTGTGTGATCCTTAATTCAATCCTGAATCAAAAGAAAAAAAAAAAAACAGCTATAAATAATATTATTAAGAGACTTGGTGAAATTTGAATATGGGCTACATGTTAGATAGTAATATGGGGCCAATGCTGAATTTCCTGAGTATGGTCATTGTACTGTGGTTATGGAAGAGAATGTACTTGTTCTTTGGAGATATGTGCTGAAAGGCTAAATTGTTGCTATATCTACAAGAAACTCTCAATGTTTCAGCAAAAAGAAACAAGCAAATAAATAAACTTGTGTGTTTGTATATCAAAATAGAGAGATAAAACAAAAGTGGTGAAATGTTAACAATAGAACTATAGGTGAAGGGTAAACAGATGCTCATTGTTCTATTCTTGCAGCCTTTATGTAGGTTTGATATTTTTCAAAACACAAACTTGGACACTATAAATAATAAGTAATAAAAACAAAAAGACTTTTCCTAGTCACGTTTTCTGTTAAACCTTCCATGACATACACCTACTGCCCCTGGCCCCCCAACACTCACCTAAAACAATGAATCGTACCCTCTCTTCTAGACTCTTCCAAGGTTATCTATCTCTCTGACCAAAGTATAAGCTCTTGGAAATCAGATCCTGTATTGTGATGGATCTACACTGCTAAGATCGTACCTGACACAGATTGGATGCTCAGTTGATCCTCTTGCTAAATTAATCAAGCTGAGTCTTGAAGCTTGGATAGAATTCAGGAAGCAGAGAGGAGTCAGGCTTCTCAAGAGAGAGAAATAGCATGAGCAAAGATAAGGAAACAGGAATGTACATTTTGTATTTACCAAAAGCATTTGCTTTGTTTGGTCAGAACCGAGGGTTTATATAGGTGAAAATGCCTAACACAGTATATAGATTCTTAATAAAAATCTGATGAATAAATGAATGAGATTTGAAAGGCAGGCTTAGATCAGATTAGAAAGGACTTTGACTACTGAATTGAGAAATCTGAACATTAACTAATTCTTTTTTTTTTTTTTTTGAGACGGAGTCTCGCTCTGTCACCCAGGCTGGAGTACAGTGGCCAGATCTCAGCTCACTGCAAGCTCCGCCTCCCGGGTTTACGCCATTCTCCTGCCTCAGCCTCCCCAGTAGCTGGGACTACAGGCGCCCACCACCTCGCCCGGCTAGTTTTTTGTGTTTTTAGTAGAGACGGGGTTTCACCGTGTTAGCCAGGACGGTCTCGATCTCCTGACCTCGTGATCAGCCCGTCTCGGCCTCCCAAAGTGCTGGGATTACAGGCTTGAGCCACCGTGCCCGGCCTAACATTAACTAATTCTTAACATCCAGGGTGTTTTCCCATCGGTGGAAAGATAGTGTGTTCTTGGGCAAGTCCATTGCACATTTTCTTCACTAAATAACAAGGAAAATTGCCTCCATCAGTGTGTTTAAAAAAAAAAGGAAAAGTAGAGACAAGTGGATCTGAAAGTGACCTGCTTCCAAACTCAAGGGGAGAAAATGTTATCTATTCAGGAAAAGTTCCATAGTGGAATTTTAAAACATCCAACATCCCTCAGACTAAGAGGTGTCACAGAATATGAAGAATAAATAAATGAATCTATCTAATATGGGTCATGCTTGTCTTTGAAAATAGTGTCTGTGGCCGGGTGCGGTGGCTCATGCCTGTATTCCCTGCATTTTGGGAGGCTGAGGCAGGTGGATCACCTGAGGTCAGGAGTTTGAGACCAGCCTGGCCAACACGGTGAAACCCCATCTCTACTAGAAATACAAAAAAATTAGCTGGGCATGGTGGTGCGAGCCTGTAATCCCAGCTACTCATGAGACTGAGGCAGGAGAATGGCTTGAACCTGGGAGGCGGAGGTTGTGGTGAGCTGAGATTGCACCACTGCACTCCAGCCTGGGCAACAAGAGCAAAACCCTGTCTCAAAAAAAAAAAAAAAAGAAAAAAAAGAAAAGAAAATAGTGTCTGAAATTATTTTGTTAATTTTTCTATAGTTTTAAAGTTTAAGAAGTGTATACTTATGAAATAACTAGACACCAATACTAGTTTAGGGCCTCCACATTACTACATAGATTACAAAGCTTCTCCCTTAGCCAGGTTGAGCTGTCCCCAACAGACAGTTTTCATATTTATTTAGTATTTGTGTTCTATTTTCTTTCAGATAGATTTGTGGGGACTGACAATTTAAGTAATGCAAAATAATTTGATTATGACAACTGAGAAAAAGAAACGTGTTGTGTTTTGAGGTTATCGTTTCCTTGACCATCATAAGCAGCCTGATATCTACTTCATCTTTGTTCATAATCACAGCACACCTTTGAACACATACCAAAATGATGATGGAATGAGAGCAAAGTGTATGAGTCAATTGGCTGCTCTGCGAAACAATTTGTTAGTTTTAGGCTATAGTTCTTTTCAATTTTCAGCCAAATTCTATAAAAATCTTAGCTGGAAGGAAATGCAAATGTCAGGTTGCATTTGAGAAATTAATTTTTGGGCTGGGTGCGGTGGCTTGTGCATGGAATCCCAGCACTTTGGGAAGCCGAGGTGGGAGGATCACCTGAGGTCAGGAGTTTGAGACCAGCCTGGCCAACATGGTGAAATCCTGTCTCTACTAAAAACACAAAAATTAGTCGGGTGTGGTGGCGCACTCTTGTAATCCCAGCTGCTTGGTCGGCTGAGGCACAAGAATCACTTGAACTCAGGAGGCAGAGGCCTGGGCCTCTCCAGCCTGGGTGACAGAGCAAGCCTGTCTCAATTTTTGGCCCAATTACCATGTAGCATTAACTTGTTCCAGAATGTGTAATATTACTGGGAAGACAGCATCGGTAGTGGTCAAAGTGATTTGTAGTTCACAAAGCATGCGGGCATTCTTTTTGAAGAAAGTAAACAAAATAATTTGAACTATTGTTTCAGGTAATAAAGTAGACTCATACAATAAGTCATTTGAGCTGTATGTACAAACGGACTATGACACAGCTAAATTAGTCACAACTGTCCACTACAGGCCAACTTCAAGATAAAGGGTTATATATCAGTTAGCAATGCTCCCTTACAACCAGCCCTGATGTGTTTGTAAGCAGGAAAATAATTTTATGGTTGCAATCAACAAAGAAGTATCAGGCCAGACCACCAAGCCCAGCCAAATCCCATATCTCGCTCCAGTTTTATAGAGATTAGCGTATCACATGAGCCAAATGCTGTTCCCCAACTTAGAATGTGATGTTGCTATTTTGCAGGGAAAGTGTAAGCCCTGTTCTGCAACACTGATGAAATAGAAGTATTCATAAATACTGTGTTTAATGTGGTCCAGTAATTGAAACACAAAATAGATATCTTGTAACAGAACATTTTTAAAAGTCAAGAAAGATAAGAATTAGGCCTTGGAAAATAAATGACTATGAAGAAAGATAAAAATAAAACAGACTGGGGTGTCTCTGAAGACCCTGCTTAGAGGCCTTGTCCTCCTTTCGGCAAGCGGCCATTGCCATGGAAACCAGAGCCGCAGGGCTATCTGTCCGGGATTGTGACGCCCAGATGGGAGTGGTGGGAGGAGACAGGAAGAGGGTGGTGACCGATGGCCGGTCCTCTTTCTCCAACACCTAGCCTGAGACTTCGCGGCGCGGCTGCTATCCTGAACTAGCTTGGTAAGGGTTGTGCCCTGAACCAGCATAGAGAGACCTCGGACCAGCCGCCTCGATGACAGCATCCGCGTCCTTTTCATCATCTCAGGGTCTCCAGCAGCCCTCCATCTCCAGCTTCTCCCAAATAACCAGCAGCTTGTTTCTCAGCAATGGTGTGGCTGCCAACAACAAAATCCTTCTGTCCAGCAATCGCATCACCGCCATTGTCAATGCCTCGGTGGAAGTGGTCAACGTGTTCTTTGAGGGCATTCAGTACGTAAAGGTGCCTGTTACCGATGCTCGTGACTCTCGTCTCTGCGACTTTTTTGACCCCATTGCTGATCTTATCCACAGCGTGGATATGAGGCAGGGCCGCACGCTGCTGCATTGCGTGGCTGGAGTGAGCCGTTCTGCCTCACTGTGCCTTGCGTACCTCATGAAATACCACTCCATGTCGCTGCTGGACGCCCATACATGGACCAAGTCGCGCCGCCCCATCATCCGGCCCAACAGCGGCTTTTGGGAACAGCTCATCAATTACGAATTCAAGCTGTTTAGTAACAACACCGTGCGCATGATCAACTCGCCGGTAGGTGACATCCCTGACATCTATGAGAAGGACATACTTGCAGTGATATCAATGTAAGCCATCCCGGCCAGCCCTTGACATCTGCCATCGATCTGGCACCAAGACTGAACTTGAACACTGACATTTTGTTAGTAAAGAAAACCTGTTGGTGCCTTGTTAAAGGGCGAGAAAAAAAGGGAGGGGGTTGGAGTTTTGAATGTAGTAAGCCTTACCTTAATAGAATTAAATTCACAAAATGTAAGATGGTGAAAATGTTTTTTATCTTGTGAGGTCAAGCTCTTGGGGCCTGGCTGGAACCAGGGTGCGGCTAGTGATGCTCAGCTCACATAGACCTGCCAGCAGCACCCAATACATGTGGCAGGCCTGGAATTCTGAGCCCTGCCGGAGGCCGACTAACTCAAGAGTGAATCCCCTAGAATCTCACCTGGTTCTTTCCAACCCAAAGTCAAAGCCTTAGACATCTTGGCATCCCTTGCACTTCTCCCGGTAAGTGCCAACCTAGTGGATAAGTGGCTTTCATTCAAGCTTTGCTCTGGAGGAGGCTCAGGCTACCCTTGCCCGCCTTCAATCACAGTGGCCCATCTCTGGTTTTCTAGATTGAATTTATACATTAGTTAAAAAAAAAACAAAACAAAAAAACAAAACAAAAAAAAACTATTTTTTTAAAAGACCATTCCACTGCATAAAGTTTAAAAATACTGTACTTTTTGAGTGCTATACTTGATGGCAAGGTCTCAAGGTGTCTTTGGTGATCTCCCACCAGCCTTTGTGAAAAGGGACATTAGTCCTTTTCCCAGGGCATATACTGAGAGAGAACAGGCCTGACACCAGGTCTCAGGGGTTCCTCTCATGAACCTTGGCTTAAGAGGCTGGAGCTGCTGGCCATGACCCAACCCTGTCACCTCTAACATCTCCTTTCATTGTGACCTGGGTCCTCTCAAAGCTTCACTTTCCTCACCTGTCAAAGCAACTCTCTCCCATAGAGTTGTGAGGACTGGGTTCCTTAGCACAGTACCTGGCACATGAATGGTTTCATGCTTGGAGTAAAGGGCAATGATACTCTTTGACCCTGGTTTGAGGTCAGCACACTCATCCTCATAATGGCATTTCCCTCTTCTGTGCACAGTCCTTTGTTGTTTACAAAATGCTCTTCCAAAAAATCATCAAGTGTCTAAAAACAAATGGCTTAAGGTCCTTTTGGACCTTACCTTAGAATGGGCCTAGATTCGGGCGTGGTGACTGGCACCTGTAGTCCCAGCTATTTGGGAGGCTGAGGTAAGAGAAGCACTCGAGCCCGGGAGGTGGAGGTTGCAGGGAGCCAAGACTGAACCATTGCACTCCAGCCTTGGGTGACAGAGCGAGACTCTGTCTCGAAAAAGAAAAAACAAAGGGGGGGCGGCGCCTAGCTTTAGAGCCTTAACAGAGGTCCCATTGTGTTTAATCCATGTGCATCCAAGGGGTTGTGTAGAAGCACAAGTCCAGCTTCCCTGAAACACTTGTTTAGAGTCACTAACCGTTAGAGCCAGCACCCTGGTTTTGCTCGTTACAAGGATGCATGAGAGCATTCGCTGAAGGGATGAACAAGTGACCCCCATGTGTAGGCCCTGGAATCCAGGATCATTCTAATTCCCTGGATACCTGGGCTCTGGCTTGTGTTCAGTTATTCTAATCCAGAGGATTTTAGACCAAAAAAAAAAAAAAAAAAAAAAAAGAGAGAGAGAGACAAAAGTACAACTGCTCCATTTGAAGAAGATCTGTGTGTCCAGAGCCCAGTGACATCCCAGTGTTTTTTTCTCTCCAAATCCATCAAGACACCACCACTGCCACAAAGGGAGTGCCTAGGGTGCAGTATGGGGACAAGGGGGATAAAAAGTGGATCTGCCTGGAGCAGATGGAAAAACAGGCTCACAGAATGCAAGAGTTGGTGTGGCAGAGCCCCCACGAAGCAGCCTTTCTGGCAGAGGCCCAGATGGAAAATTTCTTTTAAAGTATTTCTTAGAAGGAAATTATTTGGGGATGTGTGTGTGTGTGTGTGTGTGTGTTCATTTTTTAAAATATCTAAATTAACATACCACGAAATTACTCTTTGTGGATAAACAGTTCCATGAGTTTTAACACATGCATAGGTTTAGGTAACCATCACCACAGTCCCAAAATTTCCCTCATGCTTCCCCTTTCGAATTAAACCATCAACCCACCCCAACCTCTGGCAAACACTGATCTGTTTTTCTTCCCTGTAGGTTTGCCTTATTTTTTTTTTGAGACAGAGTCTCGCACTGTTGCCTGGGCTGGAGTGCAGTGGTGCAGTCTCGGTTCACTGCAACCTCCGTCTCCCGGGTTCAAGTGATTCTCCTGCCTCAGTCTCCAGAGTAGCTGGAATTACAGGCACCCGCCACCACGCCCAGCTAACTTTTTGTATTTTTAGTAGAGACAGGGTTTCACCATGTTGGCCAGGCTGGTCTCGAACTCCTGACCTCGTGATTCGCCTGCCTCGGCCTCATAAAGTGCTGTGATTACAGGGGTGACCCACCACGCCTGGCCAGATATGCCTTTAACTGAATGTCACATAAATGGAATCATACAGGATGTAACCTCTGGAGACTGGCTTCTTTCACTTAACATAGTGTCTTTGAGATTCACCCATGTTATACAGCTCATTGTATGCATGTGCCACAGTTTGTTTTCCATCCACCTATTGAAGAATATTAGGGTTCCTAGGAACCTAATATTAGCTTCCTAGGAAATGCTGTAAGAAATACCAAAAGCTGAGTGGTTTAAAACAATAGAAATGTATCTTCTCTTATGATACAGTTATGGAGGCCAGAAGTCCTAAATCGAGATGTCAGCAGGGTTGTGCTCCTCTGAAACGTGTAGAGGAGAATCCTCCTTGAGTCTTTTGGTTTGTGTGTGTGTATGTGTGTGTGTGTGTGTGTGTGTTTTGATAGAGTCTTGCTCTGTCGCCCAGGCTGGAGTGCAGTGGCGTGATCTTGGCTCACTGCAACCTCTGCCTCCCAGGTTCAAGTGATTCTTCTGCCTCAGCCTCCCCAGTAGCTGGGATTACAGGCACGCACCATCATGCCCGGCTAATTTTTGTATTTTTAGTAGAGACGGGTTTTTACCATGTTGGCTAGGCTAGTCTCAAACTCCTGACCTCAGGTGATTCACCTGCCTCAGCCTCCCAAAACGCTAGGATTACAGGCGTGAGCCACCGCGCCTGGCCCTCCTTGACTCTTTCTAGTGTCTAGTGTTTGCTGACACTCCTTGGCATTCCTTAGTTTGTAGATGCATCACTCTAATCTCTGCCTCTGGAGTTACAGGGCTATCTCCCTTAGTGTGTCTTCATATCTGTCTTCCCTCTGTGCAAATCTATGTCCAAATCTTCTTTTTCTTATAAGGACACCAATCATATTAGATTAGGGACCCACTCTACTCCAGTATGAGTAATTATGAATACATCAAATGACCCTATGTCCAAATAAGGTTATATTCTGAGGTTGTGGGGGTTAGGACTTTCACATATTTTGAGGGGATACAACTCAACCCATAACAAGATTATTTCCAGTTTTGAACAATTATGCATAAAGTACGATCTCACACACACACACACACACACACACAGAAGAAAAGGATCATGTCACCTGAAAAAAAAACGGTAGCAGTTTAAAAGTGCGAAATGAGTTAGAGTGAAAAATAATAATAACCACTATTTATTAAGCTATTAAATGCCTAACACAGTACTGGACACTTTACAGTGTCTCTATTCCTTCAAACAAGCCCTTCAAGGTAGTTATTGTTCCCATTGTACTAATGCATTTAAGGAATTTGCCTAAGGCAGCACATAGGTCAGGAATGAAGAAGTGACATACAGACTAGGCTCTATTTTCCTGCATTTCTTTTTTTTTTTTTTTTTTTTTTTTTTG